CCCAAATTTCGGATCCAGCTGTTCCCCGCCCCAAATTTCGGATCCAGCTGTTCCCGCCCAAATTTCGGATCCAGCTGTTCCCATCCCAAATTTCGGATCCAGCTGTTTCCCCCCAAATTTCGGATCCAGCTGTTCCCCAAGCCCCGCCCCTTCTCTCGCGCCCCCGATGCTCCGCCCCCTCCCGCCCCGCAGCCAATCAGAGCCCTTTCCTCGGGCGAAGGCGCGGGGGGCGTGGCCTGGCGGGGGCGCGGGCCTATCACAGCGCGCGTCTCTCGGAGCCAATGGGAAGCGGCGGCGGCGCGGGGCGGAAAGTGCCGAAGCGGCGGCCGAGCCAGGCCGGTACCAACGGGGAACCGAGAGGGGGGGGGGATGGTACCAATAACGGGACCGGGACAGGGCCCGGTGAAACCGGGGGATAAAACCGGGGCTGATGGCAACCGGGAAACGCGGGAGGAGGCGGGACAGGGGCCGGTTCCTACCGGGAGGGGCGGGACTAACGGGGGGGACCCGGAACCAGCGCTGTGAGGGGACAGGGGCCGGTACCAACCGGGGCGGGGGGGGGACAGGGGCCGGTACCAACGGGGTGCAGGGGGAAAATCCCCTCTGAGAGTCTGAAATTGCTCAAAATTCACCAAAATCAGCCAAAATGTCATCATGAAGTGGTTCTAAATCTACTCTGAAATGGGTCAAAGTTTCATTCTGAAATGTTTCAAAATCCACCCTGAAATGGGTCAAAATTCTCTCCAAAACGTATCGAAATTCATCCTGAAAGGAATCCAAATCCATCTCCAAAAGGGTCAAAATCCCTCCTGAAAATCCCYAAATCCACCCTGAAACGGCTCAAAATCCGTTTGGGAATGAGCCAAACCTCAAACAGGTCAAAAATCCCCCTTTTTCCCCCAAAACACCAGAATTTGCTCTGCGGGTTCCTTTATCCCCATAGCCCCGATCCCTGGCCATTGCCACCAAAAATGCACCAGATTTTCCTGGGATAAACTGGTTTTACTGGGATTTTCCTGGGATTTTCCTGGGATAAACTGGTTTTACTGGGATTTTACTGGGTGGAGGGGCTGGGAGAAGATCGAGGGGCAAATTCAGAATTCGTGGCCTCTTCCCTTCCATCCCCGTGACATTTCCCCTTTTTCTCCGAGGCTCCCCAAACTTTGGGAATTCCTTTTTGAGAATTCCTCTTTGGGAACTCCTCTTTGAGAATTCCTCTTGGAGAACTCATTTTTGAGAATTCCTCTTTGAGAATTATTTTTTGAGAACTTATCTTTGGGAACTCATTTTTGGGAATTCTTCTTTGGGAACTCCTCTTTGTGAGTTCCTTTTTGAGAATTTTGGGAACTCCTTTTTAGGAATTCCTCTTTGGGAATTCCTCTTTGTGAACTCCTTTTTGGGCCCTCACCTTTGGGATTTCCTTTGAGAACTCATTTTTGAGAACTCATCTTTGAGAATTCCTCTTTGGGAACTCATTTTTGGGAACTCCTTTTTGAGAATTCCTCTTTGGGAATTCCTCTTTGAGAACTCATTTTTGGGAACTCCTTTCGGGAAACCATTTTTGAGAATTCGTCTTTGAGAATTCCTCTTCGGGAATTCATTTTTGTGAGTTCCTATTTGAGAATTCCTCTTTGTGAACTCCTTTTTGATAATTCCTCTTTGGGAATTCCTCTTTGAGAACTCATTTTTGGGATCTCCTTTTTGAGACCTCCTTTTTGAGAATTTTGGGAACTCATTTTTGGGACCTCACCTTTGGGATTTCCTTTGTGGGAACTCCTTTTTGAGAACTCATCTTTGAGAATTCCTCTTGGAGAACTCATCTTTGGGAACTCCACTTCGGGAATTCCTCTTCGGGAATTCCTTTTTGAGAACTCCTTTTTGAGAATTTTGGGAACTCCTTTTTAGGAATTCCTCTTTGGGAATTCCTCTTTGAGAACTCATTTTTGTGAGTTCCTCTTTGGGAATTCATTTTTGGGAACTCCTCTTTGGGAATTCCCTTTTGAGAACTCATTTTTGGGAGCTTATTTTTGAGAATTCCTCTTTGAGAATTCCTCTTGGAGAACTCATTTTTGGGACCTCACCTTTGGGAACTCCTCTTTGTGAACTCATTTTTGGGACCTCACCTTTGGGAATTCCTCTTCGGGAATTCATTTTTGTGAGTTCCTCTTTGGGATTTCCTTTTTGTGAACTCACCTTTGGGATTTCCTCTTTTCGAACTCATTTTTGGGAATTCCTCTTTGAGAACTCATTTTTGTGAACTCATTTTTGGGATTTCCTCTTTTTGAACTCATTTTTGGGAATTCCTCTTTGAGAATTCCTTTTTCCCCTGGGCAGGCTCCGCCATGCCCCTGTGCCGGCGCGGGGCCGATCCCGATCCCGAAAGCTGCGGATTCCCGGGGGGCTCCGGGGTCAAAGTGTTCCTGCACTGGAACGGGGACGAGGAACGGGATCGATTCCGGGTTTATGGCCAGGGATCCCTGAGTGCCGAGGAAATCTGCATCGACCTGGCCCGCAGCATCGGTGAGCAACGGGCAGGGAGGGGTTTGGGGGATTCTGGGATGGGGGGTGGGAATTCTGGATTTTCCAGGGAGTGGTGGATCCTTAATGGGATGAGGAATTCCCAAAAACACCAAAATTTCCAGGGAAAACAGCAGAAATTACCAGGGAACACCAGATCCCAACTGGGCTTCTTTCTACATCTGAGGAATTCGTGTTTTTCTGCTTGCCAAGGGATCCCCAATGGGATGAGAAATTCCTAAAATTTCCATGGAAAACAGCAGAAATTCCCAGGGAACACCAGATCCCAACTGGGTTCCTTTCCAAGGATGAGAAATTCCTGATTTTCTGCTGTCAGGGAATGGTGGATCCCGAATGTTCCACCCCAAGGCTGAGAAATTCTCAAAAAACACCAAAATTTCCATGGAAAACAGCAGAAATTCCCAGGAAACACCAGATCCCAACTGGATTCCTTTCCATGGCTGAGGAATTCCTGATTTTCCAGGGAATGGTGGATCCTGAACGGGATGAGAAATTCCCAAAAAACACCAAAATTTCCAGGGAAAATGCAGAAATTCCCAGGAAACACCTGGTGATTTATTTCCAAGGATGAGGAATTCCCGATATTTGGTGCCAGGGAATGGTGGATCCCCAATGGGATGAGAAATTCCCAAAATTTCCATGGAAAACAGCAGAAATTCCCAGGGAATGCTGGAAATCCCAACTGGATTCCTTTCCATGGCTGAGGAATTCCCGTTTTTCTGATTTTCCAGGAATTTTTCAGTTTTTTGGGGGATGTAACCAGTTGAATTTGGGTTT